CTGAGGACTCCGCCCTGGATGTGCCGTGGCCCTGTCCCCTCCCAGCCACTGTCGGAGCTGGCCCAAGTTCTGGGTCTCACATCACCCTCTGAGCTGCTCGGGCTGGGCCTGCCCGCTGGTGGCCACTCCCAGGCAGGCTCCGTCGTCCCTGCTGCGGCCCCCTGGCGCTGTGGGGCCCGGCTGGCCGTCCCTTTCTCGTGCCTGTGTCCCGGTGACCCTCCTCCCCACTCCTAGCTCTACTCTTACCGCGCCATCCTAAGAACACGCCTCCTCCTCTTTCTTCTCTCATCTGATGAGGGAGCTTGGGAAAAGGAAAGGAGGAGGCCCCTCCGGCGCCCACCCAGCCTGGCGCCGCCCAGGTGCTCCCGGGGTTCCGGAACGCCCGGCACGGCCGCCATCCTCAGGGCGAAGCTGCTGCCCTCCAGACCAGGGCTGCCGGCTCCCACTCGCCTTCGTCCTGCTGGCTGTGGGGCTCCCGCGCGGCAGTGCTGCTTTCTTGGGCGCAAGGTTTCCGCCCCCGGGGGCTGCTGCCACTCTTTCCCTCTGACGCTTTTCTGTAAGTCTCCAAGGTTTCTGGGCAGCATGTTGCGATCCACGCAGGACTCACAGCAGGTGTGACTCTGGGAGGGAACAGGGGCTTCGTGGCCAGCAGGGCTTTCGCCGTGTTCTATTGGTTTGTGTCTCTCCAAACTCTCTCCAAGGATCGTGTTCTTAAAATGAATAGGAACAGTAACCAGCATTCTTCAGAGAGACAGGAGATCAGAGCCGCACAGGCCCGTCAGAGCTTGTTGACGTGGCAGGGGACGGCCCTTGGGAACCCACTCGGGCCCCAGATCGGCTGTGGCGAAGTGGCTGAGAGGGGCCGCGGGTCCCAGAGCGGCGTCCTGGCTGATGGGGCCGCGTCTGTGGCGGCACACCCCTGCCCCGGCTTCACGTGACCCTCATCGCCTTGAGCAGAAGCAGGCAATGGGGCAGGAGCCCGCCTGGAGAACCCGGAACCCGGCCCAGCAGCTGATTCAGCTGCTCTTAACCACAAACACCAGGCTCAGAGGAGGCTGAAGGTCCCGGAACATGTCACCTACCAGCTCAGGAGTCCCCACCAAGCCTCAAAACGGCGCTGCGCTGAGGTACCAGGACCACAGGGTGTGGCCCACGCCTTGACGCAGACCAGCGCACCACAGTGGCTTGCAGTGGAGGGGTGCAGTGAGGTCCCCACAGGGCTTTGGGAGGCTGGCCTGGGCGTCCGGGCGCTCCGGCCTTTTTATCTGCACTAGGTCACGTATTCAGCAAACACTGACTAAGTGCACAGTTGGGTGCAAGGCACTGACTGACGTGGGGACGGATGCACAGTGGCTCCTGCCCTCTAGGAGCTCATGGTCTAGGAGAGACGAGGCGTGTGTGCGCAGTGCACCAGGCAGGATGGTGCCAGACTCTCGGATGGTATAGATGGCGGTCCCTGGTCTGGGTCACGGGAGAGCAAGCCATGCGAAAGAGGGGTGGGGGCTCGCAGGGAGTGCCGACAGGAACAGCCTCCAGGCAGCGGAGGTCAAGGTGTTTAGTGGCTCGACTGAATGCTCAGGGACTCGGGCAGGCAACACCACTCGGGCAGAAACGTTTCACCCTGTCATCATTACTTTTGGGACCTGGCCCAGAACACGTTTGAGGAAAACAGTCCACGGTGCTACCGTAGTAGCCATCTGGCTCTATACCCTGATCAGTTACATGGCGCCGCCCACTTTCTCACTGGCCGGTCCCTCCAAAGCTTGTCCTTTAGGGAAGGACTTCCCGTAGCTCGTGGCGGGTGCTTCGTGCCTGAGCAAGCGGGTGTTTCCACACGCGCACATGACGCGACGCTGTCTCCCATTACAGGAGAAGCTGATTGACTCGCTGAGCAAGAAGATCAACCAGGTGTACAGGGTCTGCATTGGCGACGCCGAGGTGGGCAACCTCAACCCGGTGCAGAAGCTGGTCAAGGTGGAGTCACGCCTCGTGGAGCTAAGCGACCTCATCGAGTCCGTGCCCAGGGAGAACGTGGAGGCCATCGAGCGCCTGAAGCACAAGGAGCGGCGGCAACGGTGGGTCGAGGCGTGGGCCTGGCGTGGGGGAGGGGTGCTGTCAGGCTGGCCCGCACACGGCAGCGGAGCGGCGGGGTTCTCACAGGTGACACGGCCAGTGGGGTTCTCACGGGTGACACAGGACAGCAGCGTTCTCACGGGTGACATGGGGCTGGCGGGGCTCTCACGGCGACATGGGCTTCCTCCGTCCCCAAGATGATCTCGGACCTCTGATGCCAGCAGACCAGCATCCTTTTCAGTAGCAAATGCAGCCTCATGCGAGTGTGATGGCAACTTACTTCCCGCAGGGAGACCTGAGTGTAATTCCAGTTACTTCCATTCTTATTAGAAAGATAATTTTGGTTAATCTTCTCCAGGGTTTGAAGGCACCTAGTACCGCACCTGATTTTGCAACTAAAACTGGCCATGGGAGCTCCCGCCCGCGGTCCCAGTCCTCTGGGAGGCCCAGGCAGGAGAAGCACTTGAGCCCAGGAGTTTGAAACCAGCCTGGGCAACACAGCACCCCCAAAGAAAACCTGAGCCAGGCATGGTGGTGCCAATACTCAAGAGGTGGAGGGGGAGGCTCACTTGAGCCCAGGAGGTCGAGGCTGCCAGTGAGCTGCCACGATGGCAACACTGCACTCCCGCCCGGCTGACAGAGCGAGAGCCTGAACCGCCCTTCCCCGGCCAAAAGCAAGAACTGCTACGTCTTGCTCCCTTTAGGGCTGTGGTGGGGGAAAGTGAGGTGAGGCCATCTGTGCGACCCACCTAGTCCCAGGCCTGGGGACAGGCACTAGGGGGTGACCGCTGCTCTAGGGACCTGGCTCATTGAATCTCAAAGGAAAGGCTCTACACCAGCCACAGAAGCAGCATCGACTGGGCACTTCTTAACTTGAGGCCTCTTGATCCGAAAAGACTGTGGCTTGCTGAGCCATCCACTCGCAATCTGCATGCTCTTCTGCATGTACGGGGCACTTCGGTGAGAGTTGGTTCAAGCCACAATCACACAAACCGCCTGGAAAGCGATGAACCGTGATTAGTGGCGAAAAGGTGTGGTCTCACTCTAGACTAGGATCTGGGCAGATTTCATTTCTTCCCAAGTGGCGAAACGGAATTCCTCGTTTCAGCACGGTACTTGTTTTGAGACGGGCTGTGGGTCCATGGAGTCTGGAAGGGCTGACACTAGCCGCTCGCCTTGCGACCGCAGCCAGGGGGCGCTTCCTTGCCTTCTGCGGGTTCTGGTTCTGGGAGCATCTCCCCCCTCTCGTGACAGGTTGCGTGACGAGAAAATGAAAGAGAAACAGAAACACCAGGAGGAAAGGCTGAAGGCGGCTCTGGAGAGAGCCGTGGCCCAGCCCAAGAAAAAGGTAAGTGTGCGCCGTGCTTCAGCCTGCCATGCCAGCACGGAGCTTCCCCCGCCTCTGGTTGCTGCTTCTAGAAGAATCCAAATTCCTGAGTTCACAGGTCTGTCAGAGCACTTGTTAGTAGAAGAAGCCCCTTCCCGCTCTTCTCTCTTTAGCCCCGGACCCATTAAAACCCGAGAATCTTTAGTGGCTTTCTGGACCAGGTTACCCAAGCAGACAGTTCATGGTTCAAAAGACAAAAGAGCACTCAGCAGAGCCAGCCTCTGCCGGTCCTCCTCCCGGAGGCAGGCACTGTTGAGGTCCACCTGCTCTTTTTCTGGCAAATGATAGCTAGGAGCCTGGCGTCTCCCACTCAGGGCTGGAGAGTGGACCCAGAGAGCGGCATGTAACTGCAAGGGACTTCTCAGCCCTGCGCCGTAAGCACGGCGGGACCGACAGTTGGTGCTAACACGACGTGCCCTGTCACTTCTGGCTGAGCGGCGGATTCCGGACAGAAGCCAAGGTTCCACGTGTGGCCGAGAGGCATGGGGTCACACAGCCACGGAGGGCACGTGGGGGGGGTTTCGTCTCTTCCTCCTCTGGGAAGGGGTCCGAATGTGTTCTGGAGAGGCAATTTCATGGCGATCCTCAAAGGCAACATGAGCGCCGCTGTTAGCACAGTGTTTGGATGCTTGCCTGGAGGCAAGACTTAGAGAAAGCCCTGAAGTGTGCTGTTCCTACGTACCACGCTCAAACACCATGACCGGGGAATATCGTTTAAAGAAGCACCTTATCTTAAGGCCAGGTCTGGTGGCTCACGCTTGTAATTCCAGCACTTTGGGAGGTCGATGCAGGATAGCTTGAGCCTAGGAGTTCAAGACCAGCCTGGGCAACACAGTGAGAACTTGTCACTACAAAAAATAAAAACCAAGCCAGGAGTGGTGGTGCACCTGTCATCCCAGCTACTGGGAGGCTGAGGCAGGAAGACTGTCTGAACCCAGGAGGTTGAGGCTGCAGTGAGCCATGATTGCACCACTGCACTCCAGCATGGGCGACAGAGTGAAACCTTGACTCAAAAAAAAAAAAAGGACATCTTGGCTGGGCATGGTGGCTCAAAGCTGTAATCCCAGCACTTTGAGAGGCCAAGGTGAGAGGACTGCCTGAGCCCGTGGGTTCGAGACCAGTGTGGGCAACATAGTGAGCCCTCGTCTCTACAATAAATCAAAAAATTAGCCAGGCATGGTAGCATGTACCTGTAGTTCCAGCTACTTGGAAGACTCAGGTGGAAGGATCACCAGAGTCCAGCAGGTCGATGCTGGGGTGCCTGTGAGCATGTCACTGCACTCCAGCCTGGGCGACAGAGAGAGACTCCACCTGGGGGGGGGGACACATTCTAACTATGATATTTGCGTAGTTCAATTTCAAAGCAGTTCTTCCCGAGACTCTCCTCTGTTTCCTTCTTGCGGGACTGACACCGGCACCCTTACATGTGCGTGGAGTCTGTGAACCCAGTGAGCTCAAGTGGCCATTTTGTAACGTACCCACCTTTCCTTCCAGGCCATGAGTCTTGGGGTCCTCTCTACCCCCAACACCTGGAACACAGTAGATCCTCAACTGGGGTTTACTGAATTAACAGACTATGCACATGAAAGCTTAATTTAGGGAAAACACTTACCTGACAGATCCATACACAAGCTCCGCCAGGAGCTGACTCAGCCAGGACCCTTCACCCTTTGGCGAGGCTGCCAAAGACCCTTGACAGATTGTGATATCAGGAGCAGCTGGCAACTGGCCCCCAGGGAACTCCTGTGGCGATGATGGGGCAGAGAGCCATTGCCGCCTGGGCCTCCCAGGCCAGAGAGGTCAAGTGCCCTGTACACAGGTGAGCCTCCTGGGGACACGTCCTGCCTTACGCTCACGGCACCCTCTGGAGAACAGTGGCGCCCCATCCAGCCTCACATCCCACAGAATCACGGCCGCTCCCTCATGCACCTCATTGACACAGCCAGCCATGAGAGCAAAACAGAAAAGGGGGTGAGAATCCCAAGACCAGGAGAGAGTAGTGACATGCTTGAGTACATTCACCCCAGAGTTGAGCAGGTGTGACCTGGGTGTCCTGAGCCTCTCCTGGCAGGACGTCACAAGAGCTGATGGCAGATGGTGCTTAAGACAGCACGCGGTCTTCCAAGGCCTGTGCATCACAAGACTTCGGAACACCACTGGCAGGGGCCCCCCAGAAGCTGCCTCTTCTCAGCACGCTGACGGGCCACAGCCCGCCCCAAGAAGTGTAGCCGTGGCCTCCAACAGGGGCTTCCCAGCCGACCCCACCTGAAGCACACACGACTCGGTGGTTTTCCCATCTCCAAGTCCCCCAACGCCCAGCCGCGCTCAATTTGCTGCTCAGCTCTGCCTGACACATCAGGCATCCGCCAGGGTCTCCCTGCTAAGTGACAAGGTCACATTGTGCTCTTCGTTACCGCTTGCGACTCTTGTAAATATCAAGTCGGTATCTCACATACTTCAGTAGGAAACGCTTACACTCAAGAACACTAAGCATTTTGCCTTTCTGCTTTTGTTTCAGATGGGAAGACGACTTGTCTACCGTTCAAAACCCCCATCCGGGAACAGACACAGGCTGCTTCTAGTCAGTGACACAAGAACAAAAACACTAGAGGAAGAGTATTTCTTCACTTGAAGAGCCGGAAGACACTCTAATGCCAGAACGCTCTCGGCAGACTCAAGTTCTGGCTTTCGCTGCCGGCAGTGTTCGGCCCCACATCCGGCCTGATCCACTAGAAGAAGCCAAGCCCTTACTCTGAGGGCCATAGGGTTAGGAATTAGTTATTTCCTTTCGTTGAAGCCTTTTAGTATTCCTAAGTAGTACTCCACATAGCTAGCGATCTTTATCTACACTAAGCTGCCCCACTTGGGACACACCCGGAGATAGGTTACTGACGAAGCCGTCTGGTAAATGACCGTTCAAGTGTCCTCACGGTGGTTCTGGCATGAGGTCTTACTACACTTTCCCAGCCAGGCTGTGGGAGGCTCCGGGCACAGTGCTGCCACCGACCGAGACACCCTCTACCGACACAACGCCCGGAAACAGCTGGAGAATCTTGAGGCGTTTAAAAGGAAAACCACTACATTAAGGTCTCCGAATGCAGCTATGAGACTGATGTTTATTTTGTATTACGTTCTGCTCAGAAAATGTTATTCTACGTGAACAAACCGTACATACGTCCTCAGCCTTAAATGTCAGTCCACAATTTCTGTTGTGTCCTATCTCCACGGTCATTTTAGTTTTCAGACGACACCTCAATTTTAGCTACAATATGTGCAATTAGCTTGATATATAATTATCGTTTCCTGACTACCAAGTAAAACAGTGTGTGTGTATATATATATAAAGGAAATGTTTCATTTCATACATGTTAAAAGTGGCTCAAAAGTAACTAAAAGAAACAGTAGCTTGTAAAAGGTCTCAGTTAGTACATAACTACAAGAAAAGGTCTGAAATGCACCTCTGCAAAGACGTTTAAAGCATATAAATAATTATCCCTTATAGGAAAGAAGCAGGATATCAGGCTTACAGACCCAAACCAACCTAAGTGAAGCCCAGTGGCGTCTAAGCATGAGTTCTGTGAACAATCTTCCAACTGCTTCAACATGTGCACTTTGCACGTAAAATACCTGCATTCGAAGAGTTCACAAGTCAAGGTGAAAAACAAACAGATCTTTATTGTCTAGAAATATATATAAAAAAACCACACAAAAGCTGCTATTCCCTCATTTCCCCATCTTCTTCCTCTTCTTCAACACCTCTGATATAAAGGACGTTGTTACACCTGCAAATAGAAACACAGTCATGTTGTTCCAACCAGAAGCTATGTGTGAAGTGAATTACGATGTTCAGTTATGAAAATACCAAGCACTAACGTTAGAAGATACTACTCTCTTTCGAAAAGAGCTTTACAGACTTGTTCAAAAGCACATGGCACTTCTTTTTCACCATGAGACTGTTATGACATCTTTATGATTTTCCAAAGGGATTACTCGAATTTGGAGGTTTGAAAACAAGTATAATGAAAATTCTTCACAGCAGCCAGACCCAAGAAACATCCAAAAAACTAAGGTCACAGCCAAGGGCAGAAAACTTAGTATCCACACCGGAAGAATCTTAAGGATGCTCAGGTCTGAAACATTTAAATCTTATCTCAGACAAGTCTAACAGTAGCTGTAAGGTAGGATGCTGAGTTAATGGTGATTTTTTTGTAGAAGTAATTCCAAGACCCTCACTCACACCACGGCTGTTATTACCTTATTAAAACTTCACCCAGGTGTCCAGACAGCGCCCCGTCTATGTATTCTTCTGTGTTTGCAAGCTTCAATACAAAGAAATATATTAGTACAATCAGAGGAAGAAAACAGTAGCAACACACCAAAGGCTGGCTAGATGTCTTATTGCCTGAGACCTTTCTAGACCAACAACTCAGCTATATCCACAACTAATCATCAGAAGATCAAACAGCTTTCGGCTACTACCACAGTACATTTTGGTTTCACATCAACATTCAGTAAAAGTAACATTCACGGATCCAGAACTAATATATAATAAAGCTAAAGCTTGTTTCAATGTAAGTTTCAATGTTTCTTTCTACTAGGTATCAGACCTGTGTGGAGGGAGGCAAGTAAGTCGTGACAAAAAGTTTTCTGGAAATTCAGTTCTAATAAACACCAAGTTTCCTCAGACTGAAAGCATTACAAACCATGCTGAGTCATCCAAACGGGCGTGCAAGAGCTGGGGCTAAAACGCCACATATCTGTATACCAGTCAGCAACCAAAGCCAAGAAGAGTAAGCGCTTGTACTGAAAGTGTGTGTTCTAAGAAACAGGGAAAGACAAGTTCTTAGAGGAGGTAAGACAGTTAAGAGTGACCTCTACAGCGACCTCGGAGACCTTTCCTTCTACATGTAGGCAATAGACCTTACTTGCCATTTTTAAACATCACAACAGTGCCACTGGGGACTCACAAAAGGAAGGAAGAGGAGAGAGGGAAGAGGGGTTTTCCTTCCCAACTAGGTGTGTGGAGAGGAGAAAGCAAAATACGGCTGACCGGGGATGAGACAGAAGGTTTTTCACACCTGCTGAGGAACAGATCATGTCCCGAATCCAGTCCTCACCATTACTTAATGGGCACTGACCGGCAGCCTAACCTTATCACTCCTCCCTGAACTCAACCTGTTCTGGCCTCTTGGCATGTGCCTTCAACATGCTGCTGGGCACGCTTCTGCCACAGGGCCTTCGCACCTGCTGTTTCCTCACGCTGGGATGCTCTTTCCCCAGAGAGGCCAATAGCAAATGCCTAACATTGCACACACTGCCACTCATTCCCTCTCTTTCTCTTCACAGCCCCACACCGGACATATCTTCTTACCATCTCTCACTAACACATCAACTCTTGAGGGCAGGAACTTTGTTTTGCTCACTGCTATATTCACAGTGCCAGGCACTATGGACACTCAATAAATATCTGCTAAGCGAACAAACTCAGAGATACGTTTTCTAACTCTACCAGGCTGAGGCGGAAGGACTGCCTGAGCCCAGCAGGTAGAGACCGCAGTGGCTGTGAGCGTGCCACTGCACTACAGCCTGGGTGACAGAGTGAGTCTTCAAAAAAAAAAAATTGTTCTTTTAAAGTGTATAAGTACCTAACAATAACTACCTAAGTATTCCTCCTGTTAGTACTCTGCTTGCAAGTATGGCATCCTTAGGTTCATGGTTGGATTGACTACCCGTCCAGGTAACCTTTAAAAACCTGGTTAGAAACTACCACCACTAACCAACCAAAAGAAAAAAACAAAAAAAACAAAAAACAAAAAACCAAACAACTCAAAATGTTCACAAGACATGAACAGGCGTTTCTCCAAAGAAGATAAGCAAATGGTTTAAAAAAAAAAAAAAAAACATGAAAAAGTGCTCAATACCGTCATTAGGTAAATGCAAATCAAAACCACTTCACAGTCATTAGGAGATAGCAAATGTTAAAAAAATAGAAACACACAAACACACAGAAAAGGAGTCAGTGTTGGCGAGGATATGGAGAAACTGGAACCCTTGTAAAATGCTGAGGAGGGTGTAAAACTGTGCAGCTGCTGTGGAGAACAGGGTGGCAGCTCCTCAAAAGCTAGGCCCAGAATTACCCTATGCCCCAGCAACGCCACCTCCGGGTGTACCTCCAAAAGAGCAGAAAGCAGGTGCT